GGCAGACCTATGGAGTATTCAAAGGTTAATTTAACAAGCTAAGGTGGAACCCATTTTGCTGCCAAAGTTGTTTTAAAAACGTTCTGCTTAGTAACCATTTGTTTAAAAGTAGAGGCTCTGTTTGTTGTTGGGCATTTCTCTCTTACGTGTTTGGCCTGTTCAAGACATTCTACATGCTGCCCACATCTCCTTTGTTCTCTCTGCCACTTAATTTTTGTTTTTGTAGCACAGGCAATATGGCTTCTTTCCACCAATCTTATAAGACTAGCCTATTGATAACTAGTCAAAAAGAAGCTTATGATAGGTATGTTTTGTTTCAAGAGAGATTTCTCCATGTTTAAGAATCCACAAAGGAAGCTGGACACTGGTACTCACACCTGTAATCCTAGCTAGTCAGAGGGCTGAGACTTGAGAATTTTGGTTTGAAGGCCACACAAAAGCAGGAATGTCCATCGGATTTATCTCCAGTAAGGTACTCAGAAAAAGCCAAATGTGGCACTGTGGCTCAAGTGGTAGAACACTAGCTTTGAGCAAAGGAGGCTCAGGGACTGCACCCAGGTCCTGAATTCAAGCCCCAAAACTGAGTAAAAAATTTAAGAAAAATAAAAGGATGACCGGGATATATGGCTTTTCTTTTCTCTGGAGGTTGGTGAGCAATGTATCTGCAAATGTATCTGTTTTGCTTCCAAACTGTGGAAGAACTATTCTCAGCAGGCTGAGAGCAAGAATTTGAGTCCTTGGAGGTCACTCAGAGTTTCTAAACCAGTGATTCTAAACCTTGACTATACATTTGGATGGCTTGGGAAACTAAATAATTACCAGTGTCCAGGCCTCACCACAGAGAATCTCCTTCAGCTCTTCTGTTGCCTGGATTGTTGTAAAACTCCCTAGATGATTCAAATATGCAGACAGTGCACTTGTTTAAACTAATAATTTTGTTACTAGAATGAGCTTGAATCAAAATTTCTATTACATGTACCTTAAACGCATCCTGAATAGGAAGAGTCTCAAGTTATATGCAAGGTTCAGCATTTGAATATTTTAAAAACTAGAACAGCTTGCAAATTTGAATCTTAATTCCTGGCTCACGTATTAGGTATTGTCTATTTTCTTGACCATCTGTCTTGCCTTGAATCCTCATCCCCTACTTCTTTTGCAGTGCTGGGAATCAATCACATACTTGCTAAGCCCTCCACCAGTGAGGTACAATAGTAGCATTAAACCTAATTCTGAAAACTTTCATGAATAATGTCCAAGGCTAGGTGTGGTAGATGGTAATATAGGGAGATGGGGAAGAGGATCTCAAGTTTGGGACAACATGAGCTACAGAAAATAAGATATTAGTAGCTTCAACAATGGACAATATTGAAGTTTTATTGATACCTAGAGTTGATTTTAAGATTTATATAAATGTTAACTTCGTATCAATGATGCTGATTTTTCATTTTTATTTCTTCAATTTGATTCTTCAAAAGTACTTTTTTGGTATTTTATGTAATATGTATATTTATACTAAAGTGATTAAGAGTTGCATGTAGAGTATACAAATATGCTTTAAATCCAAAAAACTGCCTGGAATCCAAACTGAGAAAATCTTGATGTAATTTGACAGCATTTCTCACTGTTTACTATAAATTGATTGGAGTATTATTTGCGTATGAATTATCCCTCATGTTTGGGCACTGTGATAGTGGGTGTACATGTGGTTGGAGACATAATGTAACTTACAAGGTCTCTGCTTGTTAAGGCAACCCTTTAGATCTCTAAAGGAATATATGGAAGGATTCAGGTTAATGTCACAAACGATTTTCTCTTTGGGATGGCCTTCATGATCTTGGTCAGCAGGTGGGAGCGATAATCTGGTGGTGGTGCTGGATAATGGTATGTCAGGCCCTTTGTGCTACAATGAGGAGGAATGACTACATGTGGTTTATTTAGTGAAATCAAGCCACATTTATGAGTTTACCAAAGAAGCCAAGTAAGAAAGACAAGGAACCTAGAGAACAAAAATAGAAATACCCAGGGTGAATGAACACACAGAAAGGGAAGTAGGAGCACAGGTCTAGGAACCGGAGTCTAGTCTGGAGTCTATAAATGAATGGTGTGCATTGGAGAGGAGAAGAGGGAGCTTCCGCTTTCACAACTGCTTTTCAAGAAAAGCAGTTTTTACAACTTTATTCCTTTCTCTCTTGTTTTTCAAATGTAGCCCGTAACTTTCTCCTATAAGGGTAATTTGTTCTTGACTTAATTCAAATATTATACTTTGAGTTATTGATAGTTATTTCTATCTACTGACCATAGTTCCAAAAATGTCTGGAAAGTGGTATTTAGAATGGAGATGATAAGGCTATTGATAGAACTAAACAAAAACACTGTAAGAACTGGCAAATATTCTGAGGAAGGTTGTCATTAGAGATGTTTCAGGAATCAGATTATTTTAATGTGATCCATATTGAAAGCATTTAAAATCTTTTAGTCATATTGTAATATCAGGGCCCAGAAGAGTCTAGATATTTTTTTCAGTTGCCTAAAATACTGTTCATGAACAACTATAACTATATTTCATAAGCAATCAGCCCATACCACCAAGGTCAAGCTTATATGAGTCAATCCATTAGTCTAATCAGATATAACTGTGATAAAATTAATCAAATGCATTTGTCATGACAAACATGCTTATACAGAGGATTAATAAAGCATGACTGAGGAATTCCTGTGTAAGTCAAAGTCATTATTCTCAGTATTATTCCTGTGGTCCAATGAATTGTGTTTTTGCTTTTTTTTCATCTTATTTGTTCCTCAGGCCAATGCTACCATTTTCCTAGTTCTCCCCAAGGTTTTTACTTTATTATTAACACCATAAGATAGATCCTAAATTTTCCTGCAGTTTGCTGCTCACTAAGTTAGATCAACTGGTAACTTAAACTATGCTTTCAAATTAGGAAAAGTCAATCACCTTCAGTGCAAGACTTGTGGAGTGGGTATTTCATTATGCAGAGAAAGAAGTGCCTTTCCTCCAGGCATTTAGTCTCGGAGCAAAAGCTATATATGCTGCTTCGTGAACAAAGCTGGGGTTGGGTTTTGGTGTTCCCTTGCCCTTTTCTTTCAGGCTTCATATGTGAGGTTGCTGGTGCTTACGTATGTCTATCATGCTCTCACATGGGCTTCACGCAGGCTTCTTGGAGAAGAAAGCTAGGAAGCAGAAAGCTAGAAGCATTTCTGGTAAAGATGCCCAAGCTTTGAATGAACTTTGAACATAGGACTTTGGTTCAGGTATGAGAATAATCTAAAAAGTTATTTGTTTGCTTTAAGGTTTCAGGGACAAAGTGAAAACCAGAGGCCCAGCATTTTCTTTTTTGATCAGGAGGCCTAGAATTGATCTGCCGAATGAAAACATTGCAGATTAAAAACATAATATCCCAGGAAAGTTAATGCAGGTATTTTAAAGAGTACATGAGGCTTGAAATCAGGAAGATGCAGTATAGGAGAACATGCTAATACCATTGTGCGGGGAATAAGGAGACATTACAGGCTCTACAATCTGGCCTCTGGCTTTGGCTGACTTCCATCTGTACAAGACCATCCAAAGTCCTCATTTTCTTCTCTTCTATGTACATGTGCACTTTAGGGCACAAATGACTGTCCTCAAGGTAATATGCAACTGAAAAAATACATGAACATCAAGTTTCTAGAAGGGTCATCAGAAGGAAGTAAGTGTTATAAATGACACATTTAATTTAGCATGATTCAACCCCATGGGAATATCTAGTCAGGCATTGTAAATATATCTAATTGCTTTACTCGAATTTTCCTCACGCCATTGCCTGTGCCTCCCGGGCAGTGTTCAGCATGTGTACAATCTGGCATCTTTGTGTCTTATGGAGATGATGGAGATGAAGCCAAATGATGGAAGAAGGCAGCACAGTGTGAGGGGATGAGCCTCTCGCTCACCCCGAAGGGCACTGGACTACAAAGAATCATCCCAGGCAAGATTCTGCTGTCATAGATTCCTTGCATTTTTGGTTTAAAAACAATTTATTGCTTCATTGTTTATAATTTTATTGTTTGTAAGTTAAAAGTGTTACAGTGGAAAAATAGTTTGATTAATATTTATTATTTCTTTTCCTTTATCTTTTTGGAACTCTTATTATTAAGATTTTGAACTTTCAGAGAATGAGAATCTCTGTTAGAAACAAAATATAGTATTGTAAAACAGTGAAAGAGCTGAAGACAAAATTGAGGAAACAGAAGATAATGGAGTAAAATGGATACACTTCATATTAGAATGTTAAATGTTGAAACAGGTATACAATGTGATTAAATGTGGAATTCTTATTAAATTGGCTTATAAAAATTTCAGATACAGTGAGATTTTAAAGCAGCTGATATGCTTTACACGTGTCCTTTAGAGAAATGTATACAAAGGATTTTATATAGTAACAGTCAAAACATCATATTTAAATGTCATTTTATAAATATTTTAAAAATGTACATTTAATTTTGAAGAAATCAGTTTGGCTTATTTCAAATCCCTCATTGGTATAATATTTCTTAAATTTTAGGGAAAAAACCTTGTAGAAAAAAAACTAACAAGTTTGTTTGGCGAGGTATCCATTATGGTCTGATACTGTCTTCGCAGTCCTGGCGCCTCCTCTTTTCTTTCCTAGGTGCTATTCCCCAACACACTTTTTGGACTCCTAACTCCATCTTAGTATCTACTTCCTAAGTAGGGCCCGCAAGTATGACAGACTTAGACAGAAAGGCATAGGTAGACTACAAAAAAAAGGGACTTGAGAAATTCCACTTATTGAAACTGATGCTACCACTTTTCCAGTTTTAGAGTATTTACGTAACCTTATGATAAAATACTTTCAATACAGTTATGTTTTAGTTCACAGGAGGGTAGAGAGTGTTTTAAAGCCAGGCACTTAGAAAAGCTCTCATAAATCAGCACACTAGTGGGAAATAAAAGATAAAGACAACCAATCTTAAATACTTACAGATTCTTTTCTGCCCATAGTTTTGCTGTGTGAGCGGGAGCGGGAGATGTTGCTGAAAAAGGAATCTTTTTTGGTAGCAGAGGAAGGTGGCGAGCCCGTGAATTCTCTTCCTCCGGGTAAACTCTCAATGCTTGGAGATGAACTGATGTTTTTAGAATTTTGCCCTGTAAAGAAAGTTCAGAAGCAATAATGAAACACCAGATTCTTTTAAACAAGGCATTGAATCTACTGGGTTTAATAAATAACAATCAAATATTATACCAGTTTGTTTATACTTTTAACATAAAGATTCTTTACAGTATTCAAATGTATGCATTTTATATAATAAATGAACATTGATTTTTTTAAAAAAATAAAGTACCATTATAGCTCTCTACATGCAATTTTTGCTAAACAGTCTATATACAATTAAAACCCTAAAAATCCATTTTTCCCAAATCAGTAATTAAATGCATGAATTTCCCCTAGTGCAATCATCCTTGAATTATAGAAACAGAACTTACTATACTATATATTAGAAAGATCTTAAGATTTAAAAAAATATAAATCTTTCTCAAAGTTTTTCAGAAGAAACTTCTTTAACTGTTAAATAGATATATAATAACCCTCAACCTACTGCAAAATCTAGAAATGAATAAGGTCCTCGCTCTTAGGGCCTCTTGTGGTGCTCTACCATCTGAACCAGGCCTCCCTGAAGCTCTAGTTTTCAAGTGGATGAAGTTCCTCCTAAATTCTGGAAAACATCTGTGTGTGTGTGTATGTGTGTAAATAAGAGAGGGTTGGCAAGGCTATTGGTTTTCAAGCTTTTGAATTCTGATAATCCTGTTTAGAAAGGTATTTCTTCAGGTGAATAGTGGGTCATAATAAAGACAATTATTATAAATCTAGGTTTTTCCTTTCATGAATTTTGCCTATTCTTCTATGAAGTCTGTTGTTTTCAAAGTCTTTGAAGGTAAAACAATAGGAATATTTGCTCAACTTTAGATATCAAGTTCCTCCACAAGTTCATAGAACAGAGGATACACTTAAGATGCCAAAGTATTTTGCTTGATAAAAATAAGGCTTTCTCACAAAATAAAATGAAAACATGACATTTCTTTCTAAACATATACATATATATGTATAGATATATGAATTAATTTGTCCTTGGGTCATATATGTTTAAGATTGTTGCTGAGGCTAGCAACTTTTTAAAGGCATCATTGTTATGATTTTTGGGGGATGGATTTTTGCTGTTAATTTCTAGGGATTTCTACTTCTCCTTGGGTCAGATCATCTCATAATAGACCACAGATAAGCCAGGTGCTGGTGGCTCATGTCTATAATCCTAGCTACTCAGGAGGCTGAGATGTGAGGATCATGGTTCAAATCCAACCTGGGCAGCAAAGTCTGTGAGACAATTATCTCCAATTAATCAGCAAAAAGCCAGAAGTGGAGCTGTGGCTCAAATAATAGAGCATTAGCCTTGAGCCAACAGCTCAGGAACAATACCCAAGGCCCTGAGTTCAAGCCCCAGGACTGGCAAAAAACAAAACAAAACAAAACACATAAAAGACAAAACAATCCTTAGTTCCCAGAACCTGTGGAGATGGCAAAAGAGACCTTGCAGGTCTGAGTTAAGATTATTGACCATGAGATGAAAGAGTATCGTGCTGGGGTTATTAGGATTGGCCAGTCCCAACAAGAATCCTTAAGGTAGAAAAGGAATACAGAACTATGTACAAAGAGGTGTGATTGAGAAGCAAAGGAGACAGTTAAAGCATGAGGACTTGACCTGGCATTGCTATCTTTGTAGAGAAACAGACCCAGAAAAAAAGGGCTTTCTAGAAGCAAGAAAGCAAATAATGAACCATGAATACATGGTTCCAAGTTTCAACTTGTTAAGTTGTAAACAGTTATCTCTTATGGTAAGGTTCCATTCTTGGTTAGACATGCTAAATGTGGGATTAGACCACTGTTTTTGGTTTCTCTGATGTAATCTGTTTTATACATTGACAATCTCTTCTATCCTTATTTGTCTATTTACTTTCTTGGACATCCTTTCCTGTTCCTTTTCTATCTTCCTGAGTTATATAGAAAATTCATTCTACCATTTTTATTTTCTAATAATCGTATTTCCTCCACGCATCATTTTATCTCAGTCTCTTAAGGTTTTGGTGTTTGGAATATTATTAATCTTTTTTAGACATTGACACAGACTTCCAAAATATTTGTAATTTTCAAAATTGCCTGATTTTTAATTTAAGAAGTTAATTTAAGAAAATTGGTTTTACAGTTACAAAAGGTGGAGGACATGTATAAAACAGATGCTTAGGAATGAGGAGGGAAGTGGATCTGATGGCAGATCTTTAATGTTTTTTTCATATTCTCATCGAATGCTAGGTTGTTTGAGTAAGAATTTAGTTCAAAACAACTGTTCCATAGACTAAAAACAAACTCCCATATTCAGGCTCTCAGTTTTATACGTTTGATGTCTATCTTGTGGTTATCATATATAAACAACCTGATGTGTTTTTTGTTTTTTTATACATCACAGTTCCCTCATCTGTGGGCTTCCTAGGAATGTTCTTTTTCCCCCCCTCCTTCATGATACCTGCCTGATTATTTTCTCTATGCCAATCTTTATTTTTATTATTAACTATGGAAAATTTCTTTATTAACCCTTCAATGATCACTTCTACTAGTGATCTCTAAAGGCTCAACATTTGGCATTATAGTTTAAATCTAAAGTTCCAGGGAGAATCACTTAAATTTTGTTCTGCCCTTGGAGAAAGAATTATGTGGACTATTAAAACTTTTTTCCTTATTTTGTTCTCAAATGAAAATTTATGAACTTTTATAAATATCTATCAAATCTTTTAAAGAATACTTTTATAACCTTTAGTTGTACAAACTGATTCACAAATCATTTTATAAGTGCAATGAATCTTGATAAATATCACCCCCCCTTTATCATTCTTTCCCATCCCTCCCAGCTCAACTCTTCCCTTCAATTTTCCTAGTTTCATGAGACATGCATTCAATGTTATGACATTCTTCCTTCTACCTTCCTCTCTTTACTCATCTATCCTTTGGCCCTTTTCTTATCAAATGTTATATAATTTTAGTTGCTTTGAATATTTTCTAAACCCAGATAGGGGGTATGCATTAGAGATCTGTGTATATCTAATCCAATCATATGAAATCTGTACTATGTAAGTAAAATGTCATTAAAATCCATTCCTACCTAAGGACAGGGATTATGGTGAGTACTAGTTTACTTGTTAGGAAAGCCTAGCTATAGGTCTGCTCTGTTACCAATCTGGAATATCTGAACAGGACTGCTGCTTTATAAAACATAATAGGAGCCATATGTATTATTTTAGAGTTTCTAATATTGATACTTAAGAAGAAGGTGGAAAGGTGAAATTAATTTTAATATTTAACCCAACATATCTAAAGTATTAGCATCACAACACGTAGTTGATACTGTTTTAAAATGATGCATTTTACTTTTATACTTAGCTTTCAAAATTCCAAACACTTTTAATACTCATGTATAATAGACTTTAAGTGTTTAGTGTTTGCCTGTGCCTAGGAAATATCATAGGGGACAGGACAAGTGTAAACCTATAAGCAGTTTAAATATGTTCACACAACCCAGTTATATTTCATAATTGCTGTGACATCATTTAATAAATTAGCTTATATTTTTACCTGTGAGAAGTAATTGAGAGCAATTTGCTCTCTTGAGGAGCAGTAGCCTCCAGGTTCCTGTTGCAGCTATTATTCTGCTCAACACACTAACTTTTCAGTGAATACTAAGGGCCGCTTTTATGAGAATTTCTCCCTGAATTATCAAATTTTAAATAAGTGGTAGTATCAATAAAGAACAGCCTATACTTTACTTAAAACTCTGAAAAATATTTTTTTTCAACTATAGAAATTAGCGTACTAATACTTTTGAATTCTTTGGGAACAGGTACATTTACATTGAAAGAAAACAGAGTAAGTGAACCGTGTTCCCAAAGAGGACAGTGCACCTGGAGACATTTTTTAAAAAGGCCCTAAGACTGTTGGGCACTGGTGGCTCATGCATGTAATCCTAGCTACTCAAAAGGCTGAGATCTGAGGACTGCCAGTCCTGGCAGGAAAGTCTGTGACACTCTTCATCTCTAGTAAATTACCCTAAAAAGCCAGAAGAAGAGCTGTGTCTCATGCAGTAGAGTGCTAGGCTTGAGAGAACACACACACACACACACACACACACACACACACACACACACACAGAGCTCCCTAGAATATTCTGAATGTTCTGACTTTCCTGCCTGTTTGTATTTAGCCCAAACAGAATATGGCATCTGGGAGGCACACTGGGGTAAGTGCATGTGGCTTCATTCAGAGTTTTCCTGGACAGTCCCCAGCTGCTTGGAAATCATAAGCCACAAAGGGACTCTGCATGTACCTTGTTGAGTTTTTGATTGATAGGGACATGAAATATTTTTATATTACATTTATCATTCTTAGAGACATAATTCAATGTATTCTTAAATATATTGTCATAGTATTCTATCTTTTTAGGACTAACATAGTTACTTGCCATTTGCTGGCAATATTGGTTGCTGGTAGCTCTTTTGAGCGCATTTCTGAAAACTGCCCTCAGATGGAAGGAGTTGCCCTGGCCAAGGTCATGACATTTGCCTGGGGTATGATGCCGATCTAGTGGCTGCTTTGAACTGATAAAGAATAGCTGTGCATGCCAGCTCTAATGGGGCCTCTTTCATTCCCTAGGTATTACTCTACAGGACACTCCAGAATAAATTTCCTACCTACAAATCTCATACTTTGGTTCTTGGGATTTCTAACTGAGGACAACTATTTTATATTGTAATGTGGTCTAAAATATGGAACAAAGGCTATTCTTAAGCCACTCAGGAGTGTATGCAAGAAATCTGCTATTCATAACTAACCAGCAGGGAAGGAGCAGGAAATAAGCCCTATGGAGACTGATGGAAATTCTGCCAGGCACTGGAGATGCGCTGAGGATCACAACAGAAACTCCCAAAATGGAGCACAAGAGAAATGAAGACATATACAAACACTTTCCTAGAATTCTAGGTGAAAAAACAACAGCACTTTGTGAGTGTAAGAACGGATACTGTCTAAGACCATAAGAGATGTGAGCAAACTCTTAAAGCCCCAAGGGCATGTGGTGGTGGTGAGGCTGCTCAGGGAGAGCACCTCTAGTAGATGACATAGTACTTACACAGGCATTCACATGACTGTTAACATCTGATTAAAACCTTTGGTGCTCCTTTGCCATCAACATGGAAATCAAAATAAAACCAAATATGAAATTGTAAAACATGATTAAATCCAACACAGTGGTTTTTTTTTGTTCATTTGTGAGAATTTTAATATTTGGGGCAGGTGGGAAAAAATAAAGAATCAAATTCTTTCTAAAAGCTACTCATAATTTAAGTGTGAATTCAGTCTCCTTCTTGGATACCTCGTTTTGGGGAAGAAAGAAGGAAAGGAGGCTGCACAAATAGGAACAGCCATATCAAGAGGTGCTCACTGGGTTTCCTGTACAGGGGTCTGGCCGATGATGAGAGTTACTACAGATTTTAAGCACCAAAGCAGCATAAGGATTACAAGGATGGTTGGGTGAGGCACGTGTTGAATTGGCCAGAGGAGATTAAAAGGATTAAGCCTCAGCTATGGAGGTAGATTTCAGAGATGTTTATAAGGCAGAATTCTCAAGCTAATGCCCAGTGGGTCACTACACCTAGCATAGTCTGAGCTCAGTTGGTATCTGATGTGTGGTCTTGAACAAGTCTCTGACCATCCTTGTTTTACAGTTCTTATCTCTAAGTTGCTGCATGTTCTAATTAGAGTAGTAACAGGCAGCTTCATAAACTATACCATGGGTCTTTCTTTCTCAGTGGGATTATTTACCGGGTGGGTAATTTCTCATTAATCCAGACTTCACCTAACTGGCTGCAGGCACAGACTACCACATATACCCCACATATGGCAGCCCTAGTAGAGGTGCTGAAATCCAGGTTATAATCTTCTTGTCAAATTGCATGCCCTGATATGAGCTGTGTCTGCATAGGGCAAGTGGCTTTATTCTAACTTGCACAAAAAAAACCCTGCTTGGGTATATTATAAATTTCACTATTAAAATTTCCCTTTTTGAAACATCTAATGGTTTTATTATGTATTTCATAAAGGTTCATACTTCAATAAAGGTTATTTTTCAAGAGCCTTTTAAACATCAATGAGGAGTCTTGACTACCAAGGAAACAGGAAGGGGAATATTTATTGAGCTCCAGGTATGTTCCATATTTTCAGGGCTTTTTTCTCATACAACTCAATGGAAAATGGACAGATGCAAGACTTTTATTCCTAAATAGTCAATATACATGAAGCCACTTGAGGGAATGGAATACAGGAGACCAAAGGACTACAGGGGCCTTAGTGTGGAGGCAGAGCACAGAGAGTAAAAGGGGAAAGCAGGGAACCTCAGTGCTGTCATGACAGAACTACCCTTGACTTGGCTTTAAGCACCAGGGAGCTGGCCACTATTCACTAACAGTTTGTTACCTAGAAGACATGAGTGACAGTAAGAAGGCCAGTGTCTACTCAGTACAGACAGATGTCTTGGTGCCAGGAGAGTAAACAGAAGCAGGTTATACTTAAAGTCTGTGAAATATACTTTCTCTAGTCTGACGACTGAAGTCTAAATGCCTGAACATCTGAGGAAACTTCACAATGGCGCACATTACTACCACTACCTGAGTAAGCAGCAGCATAGAGCCCTTATTTTAGGCAATATAGGAGCATGTTCTATAACAAATCTTGGAGTAGCTGCTCATATTAATTCATTCATATTCACGTACTCCATCAGGGCCTTGTGCTTGCTGAGTGGTGTTCTACCCTTTAGCCATGGCCCAGTCCTTTAGTTATTTCCTTTAGTCTGCTTAGTTATGTTTTGGGTACAGTCTTGTGTTTTTGCCTAGGGCTTGCCTCATGCCACAATCCTTCCACATTCAGCTTTCCTTTACTTGTGAGGGAAGGTATGTGTCCCTATGCCTGGCTTACTGATTAACATGAAGTCTCACTAATTTCTTACAGGGATTCCTTAAACCTCAGTCCTTTAGATCACTACCTCCCAAGTATTTGGGATTATAGGCATGCCTAGCCTCAATTCTCTTTTCACAAATAAGAGGTTAATGAAGTTCCTTGGGTTACACAAAGCAGTGATAGAGCTATATTTAAAGGTATGCTCATGTTCAGCTATGTCAAATTGCCAACTACGCTATACTATGACCTAAAAGTGAAATAAAGCTCTTAAAATTAAAGACAAACTCTGACCTTGTTCATAGTCTAAAAACAACTCATGCATTCAATGTATTTTGGAATGGGTATTCTACAAAACTGTATTCCCTAGCACATTTATTTTACCTGTAACCCACTTCTCTGCCTTCATGTGATTACACAACGGGCCTCTGCTGTGCTTCAAGAGAACCAATTCACAACAAGCATGGCACATGGTGTCATCTATAAGGAAAGTGTTTTGGTTGCTTGGTGTTTTCCTCACTCCTATGAGTAGGAAGAGTAGTTCTCTCCTTTGCTTTTTCTTTTCTTTTACCAATAGAAGAGTTTATTAGGAAAGGAATACAATTTCAGTAGACTGAAAAGTGGCCCATGTCTAGGGTGTGAATGATATCTTTTCAGTTTCGTACTCTTATTGACTTGACCTCCTTCTCTTTGTACTAGCAATTTTTTATTTGTCATCTTCACTGGGACATTTCTGTTATGCTTTCTTAAGGATGTTTATGTTAATTAAGAAATCTAAACTCCTTTTTAAATCCATAGGAATAAATTGTCAAAAAATAAATTTTATATGACGTGTTTTTGGGGCTGCAACCTACATTGCCTGATAAAAGACACCTTTCTCATACCTTTGTAAAAATTACTTACTGATCTAAATAATGGAATCTCACTTTATAGCCAGTTTTTACTTAAAAAATTAAAACTACTATGTATTACACAGTGAAAAGATAACATCAAATTTTATGAAAAAAGACTATATAATCAAAGAATTATTGGAAGCGTTGGTTTTATTTCCTCAAATTTACTTTATTACTTTGAAAAATGACACTTGGGAAAACTTAAGACAATAGATTAATTTCCCTGAAATTAAAAAATATCTTTACTTCTGAAATACTGTAGAGAAGACTATAATAGCTTTGACATCTCTGATTAAATGTACTAACTTCTAATATTATTATTCAGCATGGGTAAGAAATGTTTTGCTGCCACTATTGACAGTTTGGTTTACATCTACTTCTGCTTGCATTTTGGTACTCTTCTGGAAAACACAGAGTGACTTCTTCTAAATCAGGGTAGGTGTCATCTCACTGTCTCATCATTGTTAGAGTTGTCACAGACTGAGAGCTGTTCATTTGGAGCTGTTCATGCATTCTCTGACAGTGTGAGAGGCCAAGGGGATACAGAAAAAGAGCGGGTTCCCTATTGCACAGGCCTAACTGGCTCATCTAAAGTCAAAGAAGCCCAAGTGAGCTGGTGAGGTGGAGAAGCAAGGGACCAATGAACACAGAGCTGGCACTCGCTAATACTTGCTGACTAAATGAATGCTTCTACTTGGTGTCTGTTAAGGTGGAAGGGATTCTGTAAAGTATTTAACACTATTAGATAACTGTACTATATGAGTACTATAAGGAAATTGTGAAATGAATCTTAATACTATATTGCTATCACTTTAGTCTGGATTTGAATGGAAGATTCAGTTAGTCAAGGCTTCTGTTTAACAGAGACATTTCTGGCCATTTCAGCTACAAAACTATAATAAAAGATTAATGCAGCAACTTTAAATATATATTAAGATTCCATGGAAGTAATGAAAATACATTGCCACTTTTTATATTTCATAATAAACACTTTCTTCCACCTTTTGAACAAATGAATATATCAAAAGATTCTCTTATTATTGTAAATCACTGCCAGTTACTATAAATGGGAATTAACTATAACATACTTTGTGTTAAGATAATTCATAATACAAAGGCAGATATACTTAAAAAGCATTTCAAACCATTTTGTAATTTTTAAGGTCAAAGATGGCTAATCATAGCACATAAATTGCCCCATCTCAGAACAAGTCAAATGTCTCAGAGTACCTTTGCAACAAAAAGAACACCTTATCAGATACCCTACAAAAATTAATGTTAAAATAACCACAAATATAGGGTGAATTGTATTTTTCAAGGAAAGAGCGTTGTGTATGTTTAATACAAATTAGCATCATCAAGGTATGACTTGAGGGTTTTTTATCTACACAACAGTGCCCCTCAGTGGCTAAACAATGGCAGTGGAGTGATACATGGTATGAATGAATGGAGATGGGCAACAGGAAAACCAGACCTTTGGAAGAGCAATACTTAGGAAGGGTGTGGAGGGAGAGAGAGGAGAAAGAAGTAAAGGAAGGGGAAAGGAAGGGAGGGAATGCTACTACGGTAACTGTACCTTGGAGGTCAGTTAGAGTCTGGGCAGGAACAGAAACCTGAGCATCACTTCCTGTAACTACATCGCCTAGATTTCGCAAGAAAAAATAATTAGCTTTAATAAAATGAAATAGCCAACTTTAAACTTCTTTCATACTCAATGTTGCAATATTTATGTAGAATTAATAAAATAATACAAGAAATATAACAAAAGTTGAGAAAAATTAATAAATATATTTTAAATAAAATAAGTTAAAAGAATGTTTCCTATGAAGTTTCTGTATTTGTTTTTCTTAAATATGAACAAATAAATTCCTAATATACTAGATTTCAAGAACCTTCAGCAATAAAAAGATTTTTCTAAGCAGATTTCATGATAGTACTGTATATCTTTTTAATGAAGACTTCTTATCCCAAAGTAATACAGCATTTATTAGTAAGTATTCTTTCTGATGTTCATTTCTTCCTATGTTACACAAAATTAATTTTTAACTGAACTTTAAAGAAACTTTCTAAGACCTAAATAAGTTCTGATTTCAATTAGATAATAAAAAGATTTCAAAAGTCACCACATGTACTTATAAATATTAACATGTAAATCTGTGAATTGCACATTCTTAACTTGATATACCTATTATAAGGCAAGACTTCATTTACAAATTGGTCCTGTAGTAAATGCTGAAACAGAATAATGCTTAAATTAAAAAGGAATAAGAAAGGAAATACAAAGGAAACAGAAAAAGAATGCATTAAACTCCCAGAAAAGATAGAGAGCATAGTAAAAAAAACCCCAGGAAGAGTCTGAGGGGCACCCACCCATGCTTAGAAGGAAGACCTTTTGTTTCTTTAGTTTCCCTCCTGGATGACAGAACTGAACATCCAGCATAGTCACTGTCAACAGAACAACCCTCTGGGATATATGTTATATAAAGGACAGTGCTGTCTTGAGATTAACAAGAGAACAAGCTTTTTATTGGGTACCATATTTTTCATGTTTGATAATTTATGATTAATATACTTGCATCCCTTTTAGCTTTTATATGATACATACAATAGTTTAAAAAACAACAACCCATACAGCTTTGAATTAAACAATATGCTTTCGGTGTTCTGGCTACTTATTACAATTATAGCATGGCTAGCTAAGCTATAATTGTAACATCCCCATCAATTAACAGTACATTTATATTCCCCTGTAACTAAAGTAAAATGTATATATAGGAAGTGGAGGCAATTTCTAGCACAAATGGTCAGAAACAGAATTTTTGTAATTCATTTTTAAATAAATTTTTGAACTCTGAATTCACTGATAAATGGTGGGCCTACCTACCTCTGTAGGCATGTTTTGCAAAAAAAATTTCAGTTCTACACCTATTGTTCCTTTTACTCTGCTAATTCTAGATCATCTCTTACTGTATTGATAGAGAGTAAAGAAAACTCACTCTTTTCTTCCCTTTCTCCTCCCTCCCTTCCTTCTCTTTGTACTTGGATTTGAACTCAGGGCCTTGCATTTGCTCATTAGGTACTCTTTTTCACTTGAACCATGTGTTAGATGACCAGCCATTTCTATTTCAGGGAGGGTCACATGCTGGCCTAGGACCATGATCCTCCTACCTCTATGTTGCACATAGCTGGAATTACAGATGTGTTCCGTCATGCCCAGCTTGCTTGCTCACATGAAGTCTTGTTAACATTTTGCCTAGGTTGGTCTCAAAGCACAATCCAGTGGGTCTCAATCTCCTGAGTAGCTGGGATTATAGTTGTGAACTACTGTACTTGACTAAAAACTCACTTTAAGGGCCACCAAGAAAATTGTGAGGAATAACTGTACTGCCTCTTCTTTCCTCTCCATCCCACTCCAACAAGTACACAAACTACACCATGTACTATGAATAACAAATGCAGAAATTTGGGTTAGAAACACAAGTTCTACCTTATAAATACAAATATCAGTAATCTATGAAAGCCATAGCACTTTCATTTTTACAGCCACTTTATCAAATAGCATACAAAATTTCCAGGTCAGCACACTAAAGAGACTACTGCATTATCTTTCCTCAAAGGTACTAAGTACATGACCACAGAAATACTTCCAAATCATCTCCAGTAAGGGCCCCCTGATAGGCTACTATGTTCACTGATCTTAGCTGCCAGGTCTGCAGATTTGCCAGTGAGTTGGTCTGGTGAAACACCGCAGGAAATGGTAGTATCAAGAATCAATGTGGAGCTGGGCACTGGTGGCTAATGCCTTCAATCCTAGCTATTAAGGAGGCTGAGGTCTCAGCTGTGGTTGAGGCCACCTCAGGCAGAAAAATCTGAGAGACTCTATCTCCATAACAATAAGGGGAAAGTAGGGCTGGAGGTGTAGTGACTCAAGTAGCCCAGCAAGCAAGCTCTAAGTTCTTAGTTCAAACTATAGTACCACCACCACCACCACCACCAAAAAAAAAAAAAAAGAAAAAGAAAAAGGAACAGGTACTATTGGTTCATGCCTATAATCCATGCTGCTTCAGGAGACTGAGATTTTGAGATCTTGGTTCAAAGTCAGCTGAGAAAATCTGTATAACTATTGCATCCAGTTTATTCGAGCTAAAAGCAGGAACTGCAGGTATGGCTCAAGTGGTAGAGCCATAGCTATCCTGAGTGAAAAAGCCAAGCAAGAGCTTGAGGTCCTGAGTTCAAGCACCAGTACTGGGGCGGGGGAGAGAGACTGATGTCTACATTGGAAAATTTATGAATGGATTTTTCACCAAGAACCATGGATTTAAGGCCAGAAGACTGTAGGGATCAATTCAAACCTCTTTTTTTGAGGGTAAGGAAATAGTGAGCTTCTGCAGCTGTCACTGAGAGCCCATCAGCAGGTGGAAAGAGGAAGAGGATTAAAGCACACTCTTTTGTAACTCTGTAAACTACTCTTTTGCCCTTTATTTCACTTAAACCTTTATGTAGCTCTAATATTTATCTTTAATATGAAGGTAGACAAGGTTTTTGTTTGTTTGTTTGTTTTGCTGTTTGGTGGACTGACATGAGAAAATGAACCAGAATAGAAATACAGAAGATTTGCAAAACAAGGCCAATTTCTTTCAGGGCAGGATCAGTTAAAAATGCCCCAGTGATGCTCATGTTCCAAATGCCTAAGTGCTCTGTTGTCTCCATACAACTGGGGACTTTGTTTTCATCAATTGTTCGGTCTCTATGCACTTCCTTTCTCACTTACTGTGATATTAATACTTGACATCTCCTTAGAGAAACAACTTTATATTTCTGTAGTCATTTGGCTTGGTTCCTCAGAAAATTTAAGCTACAGCATTAAGAGATTCTCTGACTCATTTGCCTGCCATCAGTTAGAATTACAACTGACTAAAGCTTGTTATCAAAGCAATATTGAAATCATATTTGTTTAGAACAATAAAACAGTACAATTAGGAAATATACAAAATAACATTCATTTCTTTCTAGAAGTGGGCATGCCTCCTGGTATTAAAATACATTTTCAACATGTTAATAATTTGAAGTCTTCTTTTCTTTAAATCATGGGTGACAGTTCTACGTTAAGAGGAAAGTAATTTTAAATGAGATATGCTCACATAAGGTATATTGAATATTCTAATAAAAATTTAAACACTAATTATACGATGTCTAATATTTCATATAGACAAAGAAATATAGGAAATATATGCAAATATAGGAAGGAGCAATAACATGACATAAGCAGTGTAGAAATATAGACATACATGCATTCACACACACTCTGTACTCAATAAATTGTATCACTGGGCAATAATGTCCATTTAATGTTTTTAATTAAATTATCAATATGTAAAACTTGTTAATAATTGTGGGTAGAATGTTCATAAGTAGCATAAATAGATCATAGTTTAAAGTCTTCTTACTGGCAGTATTACTATTGTTATTGTCAACATTAAGAAACTATGCTGAGGTGACACGGTGATCTCTTTAAGATATGAATGAGAGTTGGGGCAGGATATGTGCCCCAAACTGCTGTCCTCTCTGAGGTCTTAGCATTGTTTTTTGTATATTTCTGGCTCTCATGTTATTACTTCTTGCTTCTAAAGTACAGTTAGCAGTCTCACCACTAAAAAGAAGTGTGGAAATCAATTCTATTCACAGAATGTTGAAGTGAAAAATAACAATGTAAGGCTCTAAGTAAGAATCTAAAGAATCGGTGCATGAGGTCGAGGGATGCGGAGAAGGCCTGAAACAGAGAAGGGCTTCTTGGCACTGAGAAGGGCAAGAGTGCCACCAGAAGCAGCGCCTGCCCTCACCAGAGATGTGTGTCAGGCCACCTCCTCGCTTTCCTTTGTTCTTAATCCGAGGGTAACAACTCTTAGTTCATGGCCTCAAAAATTTACTTTTGGCTGCTTGAGATCTTTGTAGCATTCCTTAGAGGTAGAGCAGCTGGATGAGAGACCACCAGCTCAGTGCGCGCTTCCTTTGAGCCACTGATGCACTGTTGAACACCAGGCCATGGTGTTAGAGCTTTCTATCTCAGAAAAGCAGCAGTCATCTCACAGACATATCAGGATTGAAGTCACAGACAATACAGACAACTGATCTCAGGTTCTGCTGTGACCAGTCACACCATTATACAGTATGAACATCCACAGGACAAAAACGCAAGTATTTTAGAATACAAATGCTAAAAAATATCATAACAATTAATTCAGAAAATGTTCTTAAATAAAAAGAATATAGTATCTGAAATTCCAACTTAAAAATTAAGTTTTCATTAATCCCCTCTATTTCTGGGAGGTTGACTCTATAGTGCCCATGGAGGGAATCCTAGACTATGCTCTGTGCTCTTTCAATTTCTTAGTGCTCTTTCCTACCTTTGTTCAATTGCACTGGCATGCTTTCAGATTTCATTAGCCGCTGCTGCTGTTGTTGCTGCAAATGATGTTTTGTTGCTTCTGTGGAGGTCCTGGTGGGGTTCACAGAAGAGGAAGAGCTGCCACTACTGCCCCCAGGGCCAGGGCCAGGACCACCGGAACTGCCAGGGGCCACTGCTGGAGAAATCAACTTTCTTCCAAAGTTAATCAGGCTATTGGAGACCTTATTTATATTCAGAGGAGCACCTTTGGCATTGCTCCTGTAAAATAAAGAACAAAAAAAAGAAATGCAATGGAGAGATATTGTTGAAATCAGAGGATGATATTATTTGACATGCTCAATTGGTAAGAAAATGTACCTTGCCATGCCTTGGAAAAGATCATGTACAAGGTCAGTTATATGAAGTAAGAAAAACAGTAATGTAACCACAGAATAATAATGAGACTCTTAAAGATATGGTTCAAGGAAAACAATCTGTCATTTATGCATTACTTCCTTCTTTCACTCACTCATTTATAACTGTGCTAGGTTCTGAGGATGCAAATACCCCAAAGAGACATCATAGTATAGTATTGAAGAAAATATACTGCATTAGCTAGTCTTTCTGTGCTTTGACAAAATACCTGACATAATCAATCAAGGCTCTACTTTGGCTCATGGTTTTAGAAGTTTCAGTCTGTAGTTTCTTGTTCTTCTGCTTTAGGCCTAAATAGGCCTAAGTAAGGCTGAAACATCATGGTGGGAGGGATATGACAGAGCAGAGCTGCTCACTCTATGGTGGCCAGGAAGTAGAATGACCAAGATGGGAAGGGGCCATGGCAAAATACACCATATCTAAGACATGCCCCTAGTTCCTTATTTCTTGTAATTAAGTCTCACTTCCTGTTTTCTACCACTTCTCAATAATGCCATCATAATCCATAGGGACTGATCCATTGATTAGGTCAGAGCCATTCTAGTACAACCACCACTCAAAGAGGTGGGGACTAAGTTTTTAACAAGTAAGTGGTTTTTCTTTTTCTTTTTTTTTTGTCAGTCACTTCATATCCAAGCCATAAAATACATTAGTTAAGAAGTCAGATGAATAAGTGTATGTTTAAAAAATAAATACTTTTTAACAGGAGAGGTACAAGGCTTAGTAAATCCTAGAGACACAAGAGAGGGCACTTGTGAAATGAGGCTAAGAATAGAGTTCCTATGAGTAATAGGTGCAAATTTTCAGATTTTAAAAATAAGTATTTTTTAGTTACCAAGTAAGTTCCTAAAAGTTACATTATGAGTGCCCAATTCAATAAACTTGCAATCTACCTTCATCCTCTATTCCTGCACTTCATATTCTCCTGCCTGGCTTCCCAAGTTCATTTTTTAGAGCATTTTTCATCATCTGACATGTATTTTACAATTTCATGACAGCAGGATTTTTGTCTCTTTAGTTAAGTCTGCTGTACTGTCGTTTAAGCACATTATAGGTGCTTTAAAATATTTGTTGTAACTGGTAGTTGCATTACCTACAGTCTAAGTCTTCTGTCCTGTCCTAATGGAAGAAGGATCCTACTCCTAGCCATGATCAGTCTCTTCATTTGGGGTTTGAATTATATCTCAGCTCATCCTTTGAGATTGTTGCTACTGAGCTCCATGCCTGCACTGACATTTTCTTTTTTTTTTCTCTTTTTTTATTATGAAAAAAATGTACAGAACGGTTACAATTACATGGGCAAGATAATGAGTACATTTCTTATCAAGCATTGTAGCCTCCTCCTTTGTTTCCCCTTCACATCCTCTCCCTGCCCCCCCAATCTTCCTCCCCCTCACCAAAGTTGTAAAGTTCATTTTTCCACACAACGACTTGTACATCTCATTGTTGCAATGGATCCAACTGTATCCCTATTTAAACATTTTGTTTTTTCCCTTCCCCTCCACAAATTATACCAACCTCAAATACAGTGAAAGCAGGTTATAAGATTATTTCTTTGTTGCTTTGTATGTCCCTCCCCCATGGTATAACCCCTACTTGCACTGACATTTTCTTCTACTTTACCATTTTCATTCCCATATAACTGTGGTGAGTGGGTATGGGTCCATTCTAGTTGTTTCTCTGAGCCTTCATTCCTATCCAATTACCATTCCTTTTCCAAAATTTCCCTCCTCCCTCCCTCCCTCTCTTCCTCCCTTCTTTTCTTCTTTCCTACCTTCCTCTCTTCCTCCCTCCTTTCCTTCAACCAGGATTGGTACCTGCTGCTTTCATTCATTGGCTAGGGCTCTACCAATTGAGCCACATCTCCAACCCCTCTATTCAGATTTTTTTTTTCAAAACCTGGAATAGCTCTGTTTCCCCAGTTTTTGGTCTACTAAGCTCTGGTTGTAGCTTCTTTGCTACTACCTTAAAATCATTCTAGGCCACCAAAGACTTGTGAATTATAGACCGATAGGTTCTTTCTTGTTTTACTCTACCACGCAGTAGCTATCAGCTTCCCACACCCTTTCTATGGTTTGCTGGCAACTCGGTCTGACAAATATTGGGCACCAAATACTTTTTTAAATGATGATGTCTTGCGAGATTACTATCTTGAAGACAATGATGCTTACCAAATACTTGTAGGAGGCACTTTTAACCCATGCCAATACTACATTTTGTATTTTCACTGTCCAAATCACTAAGCAAAATTCATTTTTATAAAAATGAAAAAGATTCTATGTGATTTTTAGTTAAGTTGAATTTTACTATCATTTCCCTCTCTTAGATCTATCTGGCAGCACTTACATGGAAATTCTAGTTATTTTGACAGTTATGTCCTTGGCACTACTAGATAGCAGTCTAAAACAGAAGTGCTACATGACCATATGAAGAAAGGAAAGAACATTACATATCTTCATTTTAGTTTTCTCTAATGGTACTACCTAATGTTATAAACTAGGGACAGGGGGACTGACATTACTTTGAGAAAGAAAAATTCTAATCTAAAAGCTAGAATATAGCTTTATAAAAGAAAGATGTATTCATTCCTAACTTAATAAAGTGTGAAAAGAATTCAAATGGTTCTTTTCATATTAAAGTTCCATCTTAAAAGGATTCATTTCCAAAATTATGAAAATGTGAAGATAAGGATATAGAGTGTTATGCTCCACCTCCTTCCCAGCTTTTAGTTACTGGCTAATGAGGTAGCGTGTTCTTGATTTGCAGACGCTACAGGTTAGCAACAGAGAAAGTTTGTTCTCAATACATGTTTACTGACAGAAAAAACCAACAATGAATGGAATGAAAAGAACTCATAAATTCTAGATTAACCAGACATTCACCTCTGGCATTACATTTTGTTCAGCAGCCTGCATGTGTTCCCACTTCTTGTGAGTGTGTCTGCAGAAAGAAAAGCTACATGATACTGACAATTGGTTGCATTTTGGTTTTGCTTGTTTGCAAGTCAAGATTCATAACTCATAGATATGAAGAAGTTATAATGTTGTTACCCCTTTTTATAAACAAAAATGTACTATTCAGATTCCCATATTGCCAGTTGTGCAATTTCTATGTTGATAAAAGTACTAAGAAACAGCTCAAGTATTATCAAGAGAATATGGTTAATGCATCTTCATTACTAATAACCATGAAAAACATATAGATCAAGCTCATGCCAAGGAATTTTTCATCTGAATAGCTCTTAAAAAGAGATGAGCATGTTTTCCTTTTTGAATGTTAAAAAACCATTTTCCTTCTCATCCATTACTCAGAGCTGCTAGAAAGTTATTTTCCTTTCAAAACAATTATTAAAGGTGACAGTATGTTCAGTATATAAATAATTGTAAATTGTGCATTTCTAGGGAAAAACATGGTGTACATAGTTTTGCTTGCTTTTTTCAGGTATGATAGTTTCTATATCAAAGTTACCTAATTTAGATGTGAAATATGATTAGCAGAATTCTTCACAAGATATAGTAAGCTGCTTTCAACTGGTAACAGTGGCTCCGACATGTGCTACTAAATCATGTGAAAATTAATGCAGTTGTCAGATCTGATGGGCAGCAGTGATTAAACTGAAATGTTAGTGTGACACTAAATAGCAAGAAGAACTCAGAGTAAAGTCATTGAAGATCAAATCTCATTATGTATTTCTGTATAATCAAAGTCTTTCATCACTCATTCTCTAAGTACTGTTATTAAAAATAATACCATATAAGAAATAGTATTTTAAAATTGTGCCAAGAACTTACTTTTAGAACCACTTAGTTTAGCAGGTAAAGTCAGTAGAAATAGGGGTTTTTCTGAAGAGCCAAAGAATCTGTCCCAAACAACGAAACTCTGCTCTGACTTCATAGTTGAGCTCCTTCTGTTCAGTTTCTGAAATTCTGAAAATGTGGGCTTCTTGACTAACTTCTTCTTAGGATCTTCTGTAGCCTTGCCTTCAGGTCCTCATTCTACTGAAAGAACTCTCGGGTCTCCTGGACCTCAGAAGTGCCAGACTTGACCTGTTTTCATTCAGCTTCTAAAATCTTTCTGAAGCTTAAAAACCCTATTATCACCCTCATAAAAACTCCCCACAACTTTTCTTCTCTTGGTATTCAAATATTGACATTATCTTATTTGTCTCCATTCTATCTATACATTTATATTAAATACGGTATTAAATATTAGATTGCTTTATTTTTAATTTTTGTAACAGATCTCTATTAGTTGTTTGTCTATAGTTTTGTCAAATAATAAATTTCCAATTAAGTTTTAATTATCTTTTTGTTCTGATTTATATTTTTTCTTATTATTTCTTTCTCTGTGTTTTCTGAGTGCTTCATCCATGCACTTAGTCATCCATTCTTCATTCTCTTTCCTTCCCAATAAAAGCATTTAAAGCTACATTTGCAAATGATTACAGATTAACTTTTTTCCTCAGTCCTTCTTTTTTTTTTTTGAGTCTGGTCGTGGGGCCTGAACTCTGGGTCTGGGCGCTGTCCCTCAGCTCTTCAGCTCAAGGCTAGCACTCTACCACTTGAGCCACAGTGCCACTTCCGGCTTTTTTCTTTTTGCGTATGTGGTGCTGAGGAATCGAACCCAGGGCCTCGAGCATGCAAGGCAAGCGCTCTACCACTGAGCCACCTTCCCAGCCTCTCCTCAGTCCTTCTTGTGTCACCTATTGACAGAAACATATTTAGATATATTTTAAATTTCAGATGGTTAGGTTTGTTTAAATATATTACCTGGTTTACTGAGTCAAAACAGAAATATGAGAATAGCGGCGAGAAAATATTCTGTTGTTCCCCCAAAGGATTGCA